TGCAACAATGTTTTAAACAAAACAGTTAATTGAGGATAGATTTTTAAAATGTAGTACAATCAATGGGGTCACAGTGCTGGCAAAGGATGATTTAATTCTGGGAACAGAGATGAAGCAGTGGGGAAAAAAGTAATTATTAATTTAATTCTTTCAACCTTTTCTCTATTGTGTGGGATGCATACAGGCTGAAATTTTCGCACATATTTGCATTCACACATTCAAAACAGAGAACAGACAGAAAAATATGTATACAAGGTCTGAGATGGTCAGAGAAATATTCTATTACTGTCAGCCACACTGAGAAAAAAAACCCAAAACATTAGTCAGACAGTCTGGTTCTCCATATTTATTTTTCTTTCAAAAAGTTTTTTTGCAGTTTGATTTTAAGAACTCTTCAGAGATAGAGCAGTAGTGCTTAATTTTTTTTAAGCTTAAATCTTTCTTTTCAAAGCTTAAATCTTCTCATTTTGCATTTCACGCTTTTCCTCTTTTTTTATATATACTTTGCTAGGGAACATACATAACCACAAACAAAACAAAACAGAAGTCAGAACTCTCTGTACTTGAGCAAGGATTGTGTAGTCACTGTTTCTTTTTAAGGCCATGGCTTCTTTTGAATTTGGAGTGTCCATCACTCAGTAAAGGGCAGTCCAGCCTTCCTCTGTCCTGCCCCAATCCTCTGTTTCTGCTGGCTCAGTGCAGAGTAGCATTTGTGTGAGTGCACAGTTAACTGCATCAAAAACTCACCCAATAGAAAAGTGACCTAATAAAACCCGTGTTTAAAGTGATTCTGTCACCTAATACACCCCATTAACTGAGCCACACCAGCTCTAGTGTTGGCAAAGGAAAAGATGTAGGAGCAAGCATCCAGTGGCAAGAACTTCTGCTGAAGCAGGAGTGTGAGCTTATGCCAGAATGAATATGTCATCATGACCTCAGTCATAGTAAGAGTTTTCACATCTAGCATCTATTTACTTACCTACTTCAGTGAAATGAAGAATTTCAGAGGTGCAGCTGAGGACTTGAAAGTATCCCACACTCCACGTAAGGAATGCAGAACACCTTTGAAATACAATCTTATGCTGATTTGGGTACAGATTACTTCAGATGCAGAGATCTCTGTAGAGAACACGTCCCTTGAAGTTGCTTTACTAATTGCTCTGCAGGACTGAAAATTCCTTGTTCCAGTCCCACTCCCTCTTACCCTTTCTGATGCAGATCTGTTGAAGCTTCTGTCCTACTCCTGTGTTAGGGTATATACCTCCTGACACCCAGTGCATTGAACTGGGTATTATTACACCATTCAGTAGGATCCAGTAGAGTGAAAATTTATTTTACAACCAAACATGTTATTTATTTGTTGAATGTGACATTCAACAATTCCACTCAATGGGTATTCCTGAGAAATTGATCTTCTAACCTCCTGAAGTATATTTCTAATGAGCACTTTCTGGGCCAAATCTAAAGTCTTCTTAAGACAAGCAGGAAAAAAGACCGCTGAATGTCTTGGACAGCAAGCTGAATCTGATCTAAGACCCGGTGTAGAAATCTCAATGCCTATAAATCAGAATATATATTATATATTATATATCTCCTTGCATGTGCTTAAGTCTGAAGAAACCATCATAGGCCCAGGATAACTGTTATCTTGATTTGATGAGCTAATTCTCCGACCTGGCTTTGGGGCATCTAGAAAAGAAATGTGAAGAGCTTGAATGAAAGGATGATTGCTAATAGTAGAAAAGGGGAAAAAACCTCCACAAACAAGAAATGTCAACCACCCCCCAAGACTACCAAAAAAACCCTCCAAACAAAACCAATACAAATGAAAATCAACACAAAACCAAACAAAATGAAAGTAAAATCTAAGGGATCTTAACATAAATCTGTACGTAAATTTCAGGAGTATGAAAGAAATATGGTACAGCAAAAAATGGTTGGGTTTAAATGTGAGTTTGAAAATAACTAGAAAATTGTCTTCTACACTAAGTGCTGAAAAGTCATCATCAGAGTTCTAAAATGCAGTCTGAACAGAGATTTAATTAGAGTGGGCAATTTGGACTGGCAAAGTCAATGGCAAGGGTTAATAAGACATGAGATGGGTTTTTCTCAGTAGAATAGGTGCTTTGCAAGATGAGTTGTTTCTACATTGATGTTGTTAGATCACCATCTAGAGGTCATTTAAAACACATGCTTGTCATTTGACTGGATTAAAAAAATACTATTTCTGTTTACTAAAGCTGTTTGAGCCAAACAGCACAATTTGCTAATAATTGCTTAAGCACTGAAGTGGGAAATTCATTACATTTTCCACTCCACTTCTACCAGTTTTATAGAACACTTCTTGTTCAGTTTCAGTTAGTTGTCAGCTACAGAAATATTCGGGATTAAGTGTGATTTTTTTTCACTTTAGGTAGTTTCCTATTGTTATGATCCTATCCCCTTCATTCTCTTTTTTACCTTTCAGCAGAGACATACTTTTAAAAAAAATATTCCCAAAAGCTTTCACACTCTTTCCTTGCTTTGGGGTTTTCTTAGCTACATAGGGTGAAAGTCCACAGTGTTTCTGCCTAACAGAATGCAACACCTTTGTATGTCAGATGGTGTCATGATGTCACAATGTGCCACAAACAAGACTGTGGTGGTTGCTACTTCCAGACTCCATTACCTGAAAAGCAGCAAGGAGCAAAAGTGTCTTGTGCTAGACAGCAAAATAGGATGAGGATTAATTCAACCCTGATAATTTTCCTGGGTTTTGCCATCTGTCTGATGAGTTTCTTCCCGGCCACTTACTGCTCAGTACCAGTGAAAAGTCAGAGCATGATTCGCACTGCCGAGATTGAACAGGAAGAGGAAAGCAGTCCAACAGCAGGTGAGAGGATGGGCTGAAGAGAGAGAGGATGAGAAATAAGGGTCTTGGAGAGCAGCTAAGGGCAGGAAATGAGATTAGGTGTGGACACAGAAGAAAAAAATGTCTTGTAAAAATAAAATCAGAGGAGGAACAACAAGATATATGTCAAGGGGAAGTGGAGGTCAGATGATCCCTAAGGAATAGGGAGCCTGCAAAGGAGTAGGATATCAAGGCCACCCCACAGGCCTAAACAGGACAGGCCTGGGATGGAAGTCAGGGTCAGCCAAGAGGTCACCAGGGAGGTCCATGATGTTGAGACAAGTCCAAGTTCAAGGAGGAATACCAGTCAGTGTGAGGACCAAACCTAGTGATGGTGCCCAGGGTCAGACACAGTCCAGTGATGGCCCAGCCCTACTCTCACTCGGGGCAGAGGACATGAGGGACACACAAGTTCAGGCCAGTCATAGATGTTAAGGCCTCTTATATCACCTGCAACTCTGACTGCAGCCTCCTGTCTCAGCTGTTCCCTCACACCCTACAGAGATCTGAAAGGAAAGGTCCAGGACACGCCTGGAGGCCAGGGTGAAATAATGAAAGAAAATAGAGTCAGACACAGTCCCATGACTACCAAGCAAGTCTGTAGTGACAATGCACATTCAAGGTCAAACCAGGAGGTCAGTTTGCAGGTCAGGATACACAATAGCAGGGTCCAGGCACAGCTGTGATAGAGACAGAGCTGGAGATAAGTATATTTGCAGCAGACCACAAATAGAGATCTGAGACCCATATCCAAGCTTAAATACAGCTCTTGGACCCATGGAATTTAGGTAAAGGCTCCAGTCAAGGCTTTTATGGGCTATTACAGCCTACTGCTAAAGTCATGGCCCTGAAAAGATAAAAGAATGTATCTGGGGTAACTTTTGTAATGGAAAATACAGGAAAGGAGAAAAACATGAGATGCAAAGTGTAGTGAAGGAAAAGCAATTACTAAAAGAAAATATGTCAAAACCTGAAACACAGAAACAAGAAAAGGACAGAAGAAGCAGAGAGAGGGAACAGGTATGAATGAAAAGCTGCTTTTCATTGATGAAAGAGGAAGTGGACATACAGTGAAGGTGAAGAGAATTTGAAAGTTTAGAAAGCAGAGAGAATAAAACAGGAGAGACACAGTGGTAAAAAGGCTTCATGTATGAAAGAAGTGAACAAGAAGAAAGCTGATGTTGTTCCCTTTTCCCCTCATTTACAGTCTGGGAGGAAATGGAGGAGTCATTTGTGGCCTCATCAACAGGGGAAGGAATGGAGGTAATCGATATGGTGGAGCATGAGGGCTCAGAGATACTGAGCAATTCAGCAGTGAAAGATCTGCTCTTGGATCTGGCTCTTCTCCTCAGGATTGTTTTTTGGGTTTCTTTATGCATGAGCTAGAGCTTGAAATAATTTCTGTGATCAGGAATGATGACAATTTGAACACCTACCTATGTTTCATGATCACCTTCTGGACAATACAGCTTTTTTTCACCAACCATATCCCAGGGAACTGAACTAGAACACTGAAGATAAGGGCAAGGACCCTGTGCACATACTGAAAGTGTTTTCTCCTTCCTTCTTTCTTGTTTCTTGAGAAACACAATAAATTCTCAGTAATTTTTTTCTACGCCAGCCTTCCCTTCTTGCACTTCCCATATATTCTTTGTGTAAAAACATCATAGCTAATAATAAGAATGAATTGAACTCACCAATTTCACCAGTGACCCTGTCTTTTAAATAGAATATTATTAAATTCAACATATATTGAAAGAACAAGAAAAAATAAAGCATATTCCAGGGAACTGTACCTACCCATACACTTAACAAGATAGGTACAAGAACAGTTATACTCCTCAAAATGCATATTGTCAGTACCTTTTGCTTTTTTTAAACGCAATAAACACAGAAGCCAAGTAGACTCAGAACACTGAAATTATGTCTATATTATACACTTAGTGTTATGCAATGTTATTTGCTATTAGCATCTTAAAAAAACCTGTCTGGACATGCTGCTAGGAGAAAATAATTGAATGAGTGAAGGGAAGGAAGAGTATACACTGTTTAAATGGTAATGATAAGAACAAGCCTAATTTTGTTATTTTTATGATGGTAAATAAATCAAATTATTTTGAGGTATTTTTATTTATTACTTGTGAAGTCCAGCTAAGAGCATCAGACAAGTTGTGAACAGTACAAATACAGAAAAAAAGATACAGGCCTGATGATAAAGCTTTTGCAGTCAAAGTAATTGTTTTTGGGTTTTTTTTCAGAAGCAAACACTTTATTACTATTTTTGTTAATTAATGAAAACAAAATCTCTGAACAGTCCATTCTTGGGAAACATTTTGCTGTATTTGTCAGTACTTGAATAGGATTAACACAGTTATTTTTAAAATGCTTACATTGATAAGGGATGTTTCCACTTGCCATCATCTATTCCACAAACAATCCCCAGGCAGCCAATATAATAAGTAAAATAAAAACGTTCCCATAAACAAGAACAGTTTGAAGAGTATGCAAAAGGTATAAGTATTTTGTATACTTATTAACATCAGTAAAGTTTAGAACATTGATATAAATTTTCTAATTATGAAACTCTGAAATAGATGTAATTATTACATTGTTGTTAAGAATGTAGTTTAGGCACTTCTGCTACTCCAAATCATGTTGTTTCTTACTCTGTTTTTGCTCTAAAGAAAAATAACACCTAAAATTCAATTTCAAGTAGAAAGTAAAATCCTGCAACAGCTCCATGTCTCTGCTTGGATGGTAAATATTTACAAATGTAGGGAGAGGACCAGGTTCAGGATGCTGAGAAGCTTTTTGAGTTCTAGTTGTTCAACCTTCAAAAACTTCTAGAAAACTTTGTGACCCTCCCATACTGCATCCTCTACCATATCCTCAACCCTAGACACTTAAAAAAAGAAGATATTGTTGGAAAAGAAAGATAATCTGTTCTCAGCTGCCCAATTATCCTCCCATTAAAGGGGGAGTTTCCTCTTTCCCCTTATGTTTGAGTCTTGCTGATGAAACAAAAACAGAGCAGAGAAGGCCTCCAGTAAACTTCATTATTAAGTTACTTACCTTTCAGCCTACAAGCTGCAGCCACTAAGTCTTTCCTAGCACCTGTCTCCATTTATTAGCAAAATAAGAGAATTCTTCCCTCTCTTGTAAGTTACATGTGGTTTGCACAGTAACCCATTAGATTTCCCCAAGAGCTATTTTAAGATATGAACAAGTCTTACAGCTCCTGTTTATTGACTTGCCCTTTCTACAGGACTGTGAGGCTGCTGAGGCAGACAGGTAAATGCACTAAACAGAGAGACTAATAATGTAACAGTCTTTCTGTTTACAACTCCTCACAAGCTGCTGCCTACTAGGAACTGGCCAGTCACCTGGGACTTGTTGCCCTGGGACTTGTCACACATCTGGGACTGAGAGCCTTGGAGGAGATTCCTTCCTTATGAGATCAGTTTAAGAATTTCCCTGCCATTAAATGCTGAGGAAAGGATAACAAGAAAAGGAAGGAAAAGGAGTGAATAAGAGCACAATGTCACCCTAGAGGCCCTGAGAAGATGGTCATATTTTCATGTGTCAGGCCTTCCTCTCCCTGGGATCACATCTCTCTTCCTCCTCTTCCATGTGCACTACCAGATGCGGCATTTCTTGTCTGGGTTCATCAGGGATCCACTGGGACACTGGAAGCTCTTGGAAAAGTCCTGGCTATTGCTGACAGGCCCAGAGACACGAAGTGGCAAGGGACTGTGTGGATCTGTGTTCAGGGAAGACTGGAGCTTTTCTGGGTCCTGGTGTCCACACATTGCCTGAAAGGAAGCAAAATAGAAAAGTCAGTTTGGCTGGAAGTCCTCGTGTGAACAAGACTTAGGCTCCTCATGCCTCTCTCTGCACATGTCAGAGGGCGCTGGAGAAAACAAGGGAATGTGCATACATGGCTGACAACAAGATTTTCTTTGGATTGTTTTCCCTTTCCTTGAACTTCTCTGTCCCCATTCCACTCTCTGACAAGTCACCTGCCCTGGTTCTATACTGCATAGTCCAGAACACAGAAAATTGAGGCCACCTTGGCTACGCTCATGCAACCTTGGACTCTATCTAAAAAAGTGATAAAGATGTCTCAGTGCCTAGATTCAGCTTCTTAGGTGAACTCAATGAGTGCTCATCAACAAAGGAGAGCACTTACACAAAATCCCATTACTACTCTAGAGACTTGGGGAGGATTATATGACTTTACTGGTGTTAAACTAGCAATTCAAGTTTTCATTCTCATTATTTCAGTCCTTTTTATCAACAAATAATGCAGCTGCCATTTAGCCTCTAAAATGCAAATCTTGCCACCAAGACCCAATAAGCTGTTTTTTTCACACACCGCTCTGACTTAATAAACACACAAAACTTCTCCCTTTACACAATTAGTGACTTACAAGGATGTGATTTTTTGAGCACAGAAATCTCACCATTTATCATGAGGAACTTGGCAGCACAGCTATGCATAGCTGCACAATTTACTGCAGCTACCCATAGAATCAGCAAATTATGGGTGCATGTATTTCTAGTTATTTGTCTCTAAATAACATTTGAAACACTTTTTTTCACAATCAGTCAATCAGAGTGATGTGACATCCAGCTATGCACCATGATAGAGAAGTGAAGGAAGGAAGGGAGGGACAGATACATGACTTTTACAGTTAGATTTCACTTTCCCTGTGAAAGATTGCTCACAACAGCAAAAAAGTACTCAGAGGCTGGCAATGAAGCCTGCTTTCCCTGACACAGTTGTCTGCTACAACTTAATTTTGGTGGATTTCAGTGCTTGTAAAAGATATATTTGCAGACACGCCTTTTGTTAGCTTTGAGATCCATAACAGGTTAGGAGCTGTAAATATGTTTTTTAGCTTCTAAATAAGATTCTGGATCTCACAGAATCATTGGTCATTCTCAGTTCTGTGAAGAGGGGGGAAAGTGATTGAATATTGAGAAAGACAAACTGTAAGGATGTGGAAGAAATGGAGAGTGGAAAAGACACATGATTAGAATTCATTACATGAGCAAAACTGAGGTAGAAAAGTTGATCGTGTGAAAGTCCAATCTTAGGTAAACCCTCTTCTTTGTGCTTTTTCAGCCAATTCTTATAGGCCTGTGGAGAGATAAAATGGATAATTATAAATCTTCCTTAGACAGTATCACAAGTTCTTCTGTCAATGAAATCTATCAATCTAATATATATTTAATAAATCAGCAAGTTTGTATCTCTCTCCTCATTCTGAGGCTCTCTGCTGCTGGCCATGCCCTTAATGAATCTAAAGTGGGAGAACACAACATAATTACTTTCCTTACCATCTCAGATGCTACTACAGAGATACTGATATACACATTGTCATGGGGCATGGTAATTATACTATGAAAGAATGAAAATTATTTTCAAAAAATCACAAATATTTGACTATAAATGAAAGACTCTCTGCTTCCCAATGTTCTTCATGAAAGAATGTAATAAGTACTGTTTTAGACCTAGGGATCTCACACCACCCTCAGCAGTTAAACTCCTGAAGTACTGCTGAAAACATTGTTATGGAGCCATTTTACCATCACACAAAATTCTGTTTCATGTCTCAGCTTATTTCCTCAAGTATAACATAAGCATATGTACAATAGCATGCTATTGTAAAGGTGGTGAAGGGGACAAGTTGTCTTACATGGACATATTGTGGCTATGAGCAAAGTTTTGTGAGGAACCTCTCTCTGGACTAACAGAGGACATGCTGGGCTTATGTTCCACTGGCGCAGGTGTGCAAGAAATCTGGAACTGGAGGGGGACGTGGGACAGAGGAGCAGCAGGGCAATCTTGTATGTTATGTAGGGAAACAATGAGATTGCAGAAGTGGGTAAATCACAATACCTGGTAGGCGATGGCGAGCCCTCCAGTGTCAGCTGTATTCTCCAACAGTGTGAAGGTGCCATTGACATTAAAGCTGTAGCTTTCATACTGCTCAACCAAACAGTCTATAGAGCTTTGTAGTGCACTCCTGTTGCATGCAGGACAGCCCTCAGGCAACACTGTGAGGGGAAAAGTCCTAGAAGTAAAGCTATTTATGACATTTACCTATATTCCTCATACTAGTCACTGATTATTCCTAGTAGCCAGTGTGGACTGAAAAATGTTTTCCTTAAGTTCATCTACCTTAATAATATATGTATATATTGATGTAAGGACTAGGATTTCAGATCCTCTAAGGGAGTACCAAGTACTCTTCCAGGGGACCTAGAAGAGTAAATGGAGACACCATGGCCAGTACCCACCATAACCATAGAATGAGTGAAGAATTTCATGTGCCATGAAGACCCCGATGGCTCCAAAATTCACAGCGCTGAAAAATAAAGATGAAAAGAGTGCCTTTGGAAAGAAAAAGAGGGCAAAGGAGCATTCTTTATACTGAGCACAACTATGTGCTCCACAAGAGCATTCTACTCTTGCACCACACAGAAACACTTTCTATGTATTGTCACTCAGGCATGTAAAAGTGCAAATACAAGTGCAAATTGACTTAGCTATGCTTAAAATTGTACTATGGGCTTATTTTAAAGTATTTATTGCTAATAAACCATCATAACAATAAAGAGCCTATGAATGAGATTCGGCTTTTATTAGCTGTAATGACAGGTATTGTTGATGTTCATATGTGTCTTTATTGAACCTCTACTGTCTGAACTGCTGCACAAACACCAACTACAATGGTAACTGTACAAAAGCAGGACATTTGAAGAAGCAATCTTGCAACTTTTGTCTAGTGAGAAAGGATACATCAAATTGGCAAGGTAGATTAAAATCATGATGTTTTGACTGCAATACTCTGGTCTAGCATTGGCAACATGCAAGCAAAAAACTGTCCTAGAAACCTCCAGTAGTTCTTTCCAAAAGGAATTTCTATGGTTCTGTGCAATGAATTTACAAGTACTCTCACAAGGAAGATAACACTCAAAATGCATTCCCATTATATGAAATTATGGGCTCATTCTTTCTTCCCATGCACTGATTAACACTGCTGAAGCATGAAATCTTTGTACTAGATCATTATTGCATCACTGGGAACTCAGTAGGAGATCTATAGATGATAATTTATAAATTTTACCTAGAGAAGCTGTGGATATTCCACCCTTGGAAGTGTTCAGGGCCAGGCTGGATAGAGCTCTGAGCAACCTGATCCAGTGGAAAGTGTCCCAGCCCATGGCAGGGGGGGTGGAACTGGACAATCTTTAAAGGTTCCTTCCAACCCAAACCTTTTTATGATTTTATAACAATTGTACTGCTTTGCTGAGTTCTTATTTTAAAAATTATCCTCACAGTCATCTGAATTGACTTTTGCCAGTAAAGTTTAAACTCTGGAGCATCATCTGAGTAAATGCTATTGTACCAACTCACCAAAAGCTGATCAAGTTTTACTTATCAGTCTACTCAACTGAGGTGACAGTGAAAAAAATGTACTTTACTAACACTGATGCAAAAGGAACAAAAAGGCATAGACACTTTTTCACAGGGAAAGAATATAGTGAAAGCCCATATCACTGCTAAAAAAATTTCTTTTGTACTATTCTTTTGAGATGTCCTTTTCCTCATAATATAATAAATTAATTAAATACTGCAAGCACTAGAAGATCATAATTGAGAAAATAATTAATTTTAACTGAAACATGTTTCTTTGAAACTTCATCCTCTTGTCACAATGTGAGCTTATTTTTCAGTACGGTGGTATTAAGACAAGTATATATCCACTATAGACAAAGAGGACATAGAATTATATGTTTACATTCAACTGTTTGGAGTGCTTTTATTATAAGAAAAATTATTGCTTAAGAGATCTGTTCCACATGATGAAAGAACAGAACCAGAGGAGTATGGTCTAGAGAAATCTTGCTATTTCAGGAGAAGACTCAGAGTTAAAAATCTATTTGCTTAGTAGAAAGGGTTTCTTAAAAAAAATATAGAAGAACTGTGATACATTTGAAAAAGACTTCTGACAAGAAGTTGTTCTGTGAGGCTCCTATTTTCTCTGGGTTTAATTTCAGGAATCCTTGGAATTTAGAAAATGAGAGGTAAAGGTGGAATGTCTTCTTTGCAGTTAATCTACATGTGACTTCTGCCTCTTTGCTCTGGAGTAATATCTTTGTGTTAGTTCAGTTTCACCTAGATTCTGATTTTGCTTCAGCAGAGTTAATGATCACTCTCTCTCAGAATGCATCAAGCAGTATCCATCTGACTTAAAAAAAGATGGGCTTCCCCCCTTTCCTGTGTCTTTCTGGGATGCAGCGAGAAAAAGAAATTAAAGACAGACAGCCTGCTAAGATTCCTCCTGGAAGCATGGTGCAGCCCAGGGACTACACTCAGCTTGCACTTCTGAAGCCCCTCCATACCTGGGAAACTCCATGTGGAAAAAAGGACTGCGGAACATTCCAGCCGGAAAGACCACCATGTGGTGGCTTATTGAATAGTATGAATGCACACTCCAGGGGTGCACATGCCAGCTAGAAGCAAAATAAAAAAATAAATTAGAGAATGTACTAACTCCTTATCTCACACTTTGATCCTTTCCTTCGCTAAGCTTGCAAAAATAGCTCAACTGTTCACACAGCACCAGCAAACTATGAAATTCACATTCCCTAGAGTTACAGGTGTTTGAAATAAATCTTCAGTTGTTTATGGATGGTCAGAACTAATAGCTTAGTTTTCATAGACATTCTCCCTCACAATTTCCCTGTCAAGTAAATTAGGATTAGTAACCTCCTGTGAAGTCGTGCACAGAATACTGTGCAGGAGGTGTAACGCCCTAAGCCCATCTGTCAATGCTGTCTTTCTTCTGAAGCTTCCTATGTCCTGCCTTTGAGGTGACTCCACCAGCATTCCTGTCATCACAGTGCCTTGCTGTTGGCTTTGTTAAGAAGTCCAGGAGAACCAGCTATCACCCTTATTTAAGGGTGCATGGTCAAAAAAATGGTTTTTTTTCAGAGCTCTGGTGCTCTCTTCACAATGGTGGGTACTTTGGTAGCATGGCTCAGGCTCAATGAAGGACAGCCTGCCAGATTCAAGGTTTCTTTAAAGCAGGGTGCAGCAATGCAGACTTGTAGCAACATTCAGAACTGGTGAAACTACTTTCAGAGGTATTGAATCCAACTCTGCCCACTGGCTCCCACCTGCTGTTCCTCCTCTTCCACAGGAAAAAAAGATATAGACAGTTCTGAGACCTGCTCTAACTAATCCTGCTTTGAGCAGGAGGATTGGACTAGGTGATCTCCACGGGTCCCTTCCAACCTCAGCTGGTCCACAGGTATGTGATTTTGTTATATTTTTCAGATCACATCTGACTTACTTTTTCTGTGGGTTATGCTGAAGGAGCTTCAGGTAGGAATTTTCCCTCAGTACTTTCAAGCAAGCCACCACATTGAGGAAAAAAGTGTCTTCATTTATCTCCAGCTGAGGGAAGAGACAGGGGATGTGACTGTCATAGAGCATAAGTGAGGAATGAATTGAACAATTGAGAAAAAGAAAAATGAGAAAAAGTCCCATGGATCAAAAAAGGGTTAATCAAAAGAGAAACCAATGGAATACTTGTATTTTTTTCTCTCCCATTTCTAAAGACCTTCAATTTAAGATATGACAGGAATGTTATCTGAAGGCCAAAGAGAATATACAAACAGGTAAAAAATTACTTTTATCAGGCCAGCGCCTCTAAACAGAAGACAGTATAGGCAACAATATAGAAGCAATAGATAAAGGTTCTGTGGTCCCAGAACATTTTATGTTCCCAAAAAATGAAAATGAAATGTGCTCCAGAGGTCATAGCCTCTTTTGTAAGCAGACAAGACAGCAGTTGATACAGGTAATAATGAGGCAGGCATGTTTACATTATATAGCTCACATTCTGGTATTCCAGGTTCACTTTGTCAGTCTGGAGTATGTGAGCTGGATAACCAATCTCCACTTGTAGTTTGGATACCTAAAATAATAACAAACAAAAAATCAAACAAGCATACATAAAGAAACTTAATTGGCTTCCCATTCTGCAAGTCCTTTTAAAGGCTATTTCTAACCAATGTAAGCATGATCTGTGAGTCAGCCCTTCAAAATGACAGCTACTCTGTTTCAAGAAGACATCTTGTCCTGCTGCTCTGCTGTCTCAACTCTGCGACCTGAGGCCTAATGTTGTTCTACTCTTTTTCTTTGTATTGTCTTCTGCCATTCAGCTTTTTAGCTCTTAGCCTTGCTAGATGTATAAAATTGAATTGTATCTCAATAAAATTAATTCAGAGTATTCATGGACAGACAACAACTGAGCTGCTCTATGCCGACCTATCAATGTATGTACCCATGCATGCTGGCACTTATAAAACCACCTTCAATTTTTAGTATGAATATGATATCTATTTAAGACTGTGTGCCTGTAGCAGCAGGTAGGAATATATAAAGGTCTAGGTCTCTTCCATTCCTTCTCCAGAGGCTTCAGAGAAAGGAAGGCCTCAGTAATTTCTGCCTTCTGCACTCACCAAGGCTTTAGCATTTCGGCGAGTCTTTTCATCCATCCACTCCACCTGATCCAGGCGGTCACAGAGGGCATCTTGGATCACAGAGAACATCTGCTCAGCCTGCCATGGAGAAAAGAAGGCATGGTCTCAACTGCACAAAAACATTGCTCACTCTTAGCTACCATCTTCCCATGTTCTAACAATTCAACCACAGAGTATCTGGGGGGAAAAATCCATTTTGAGTGTGTGTGATAAAAGATTTCATTTTCTACAGAGATTTAGCTTTTCTTGGTGCTATTTACTCTTGTCACTTGATAGACTTCAAACTCTGCTAAACCAGGCGCTACACTAACTTTCCTCAAAAAAAAAAAAAAAAAAAGGAACTCTGACCACCACAGGATGAAAACAACAGCTTTTCCACATTGCATGCAGGTGGTTCTTTTTACTGTGGATCCACTCAGAATGTTTTCATATGATTGCTTAGTGTCTTTGCAATTTAAAATCTTATTGAGATAAATCACATTGATGATGAATACTGTTAATACTTTTATTCCAGGGAGTATACAGAGATTGCATGCATTTATAGGGCTGTCATAGCTATTGGTGCTGCAAATATGACTTTTCTAACAGTTGAGACAAAGATAATAGCTAGTATTTAGCACTGATTATTCTAAAATGACATCAATGTCTTGTTCTGACATATTCCCAAAAAAAGAGGGGAAGTGAATAAGCAGAGGAACAAAAGGTAGGAAACCTACAGATGATTTTGCTGCCTTGATGTGGTCTTAAGGTGACATGTCAAAAAACGAAAGAGGTGAAGCTGAACTCTGCTTAGGGGTTAAGATGATGAATACCTACAAATTTCTTGGTCTGCTCAGGAAAAATTTCTTGCACGATCATCTTCCCTAGGACTGGCTCAAAGAAAGAGCTGGTATCAGTCAAGCACTTCCTCCAGCGCTCAGCTGGGATCTGTAGGAACAAAGGAGTAGAGACACATGAGAGTGAGGACAAAAACTAGGAAATCTGTGGACTATCTAAAATTGATAGCAGTGAATAAGTAATGCAGTTCTATTTAAGCTACCACAGTAAACATTTCTAGTAAAACATTTATTTCCTTATGATTTACTCTATTTCTTTCCCCTCAAGATGCAGATTTGTATATTAGCAGACAAAAAGCCATAGAAGAAAAGTGACCATCTATATATTTTACCCTACTCCATGATACAGTACACTCAGCTCTCTAAACTTCTGAGGGTCATATCTACTCATACATTTCTTTTGAGAAAAAAGAAACACTTAATTACCATGGGAGAGTAGTTTTTCTCCCCAGATCTAAGAAACTCCATCCATCTAAGGAGGTATCAAGATAACATTCAGAAGGCATGAGCTACAGTGTTCAGCTGTTGGGGAGGCTGAAGAAATTGAGAAAAGGCTAACTCACCATTCTAGATCCCATTTTTCCATAAAGGATCTTATACAGCTCCAGGCGCGCATCTTGGAATTGACTGTCAAGGGCTGGGGAGAGATTCCCAACCAGACAAACAATCATATAAATGTGAAGGACCCTGTAGACAGAAAATTGAAGGCTGGTAACCATAAACACAGAAGCAAGGTAAGTGTCAGAAGAGTAACTTGAGAAATCCTAGGAACCTGAACAATGACGACAAAGAACTCTAAACAGAATACCCCTGGGGCTATCAAAGAGGGATGATTGACATGAGTTGAATACAGAAACTCCCCAAAACACTGTGGAGGCTTAAGGGGTAACTCTCTGCTGGGACACAGGATTCTTTATGGGAAGCTGGAGAAGGATACTTTTTAGGACAGGGTGAAACATATAGAATATTATGAGAGGCCTGTGGGATTATGTAAGATTTATGATGGCATGTTTATGGGAAGGACCAAAGGCAGGGAAAGGGAAGGATCATAGTGGACTGGGACAATATATGTGGGAAAATAGAGAGGAAAGCTGATAAGAGGGAATGGTTGAGTGTAAACTTGTGCTTGCCAGGGCGTCTGCCTGACTGAGCCCTGCACATGTTAACCAGGATTTGTCCTCCTAACTTATTAAAAGCTATTATTCAGTAACATTCTACTCACTGTGTGTGAAGATGGAACTGAATGCTGGAGAGATGACAAGTCTGAGTTGACTACTGGAGGGACTTTGGATCCACCTAGCTTCTGGAGAGAGCAGCAGTCTGAGAACTGGCTATTGGGAATACTAGTGGTTGGGAGCAGCTACTGAAGAGACCTGATAATATAGGTGTCCTTGTAACAGGAAGACACCAGAGTACCAGCAACCGAAGCAGAGCCACAAGACTCAGGGGATCATATCTTCATGTGATATAGACAAAGGAACACCGGGAGATCTTGGCCAGTTTCTTGAAAGACTAAATACCAAAAACCAGCTATTGGACTGAGCCACATCATGCGTGTGCACACACATATTTCACTAGTCTAGACCTATCCCAATCAGCTGGAGCTGAGGAATATAATCAGTCTGTGTTCATGTTGGTATGAGTGCTATGGGAGAATGGGTGCCAGTCAAGACACTGGGTTCTCTGTCTGTGTGACACACATAAATATATTATTTTAGATGTGTGTTCATACATGGTGCATGCATATGCAAACCTATTGGGAATATATGCTAAGCCATAGCAGTGGCCAAACCTGTGTATATAAAGCCACAGCAGCTTTGCTGTTGTTAGGCTTCTGGATTCAGCAGCCTCTAACACAGCAGCCTCTAATCTATTAAATTTATGGTATTTGAATAAAATATTTCTTGGGGCATGAACAACTGCAGCCATAGATATTGACTCCTACCTTCCCTTGTGCCATCTCTCGATGAGCTGTGACATGTTGCTTAAGTAATCCATGTCATGCACTGCAACTGGCTGAGAGAGGTTCATTGGCACAGGATGGAAAACTGCCTTGAGACACGCCAGCCAGTCAATTGCAGGTGCCTTTTCCTGCAAGTAAAACAAAGCTTACATGCTGAACTATGGATCTAAACTGGCTCACAAGAAATAATAGGGAAACCAGGATAGTCTTCCCAATAATGTTAAGAGATACTTTCCACAAGTTAAATTGATTTTATAATGTGCATCTTTAAGAGGAGAGCTGACTTTTTTAAAGGGAATTAACATGGGAAGGGAGAGAGTTGTGGGCTTGAAAAAACTGTCAGTAAAAGACCATAAGTTACTGGGTTATTTAAAGCTCAACAGGCTCCAAGTGTAATTTGCAAGACAATGGCATTTAAACACAGCATCTTATATCTCTTTTGATCTGGATCTTCAGAAAGAAGTCATGAATGCCACATGTAACTCTGTTGCTCAAGCTTTAAGGCACAGATACCTGTAGCTCCCTAATGGTAGTGTGAAAGAACAGCATCCCCCTCTGCTGTCTTTTCTGCAGTGGAGTGACAAATCGCTGGAGGTTAGAAATGAAGGACAACGTCAGGGAAAAGGAGTCAGGGGGACCATCTTCTGACCTTCCAAGTAGGACCCCCAATTTCTTCAAATACGAAAGATACACACGGAGAACCTGCAATACAGAGCACATCTTCAATGGAAGATATATGATTAGTCACTCCATCCATCCCTCCATCCACACATCTATCTTGACCATATAAACCTCAGTCTTTCAAAACTACTGCAGACCCAACCCATCCATAAAACTGTCTTCTTGCTGCAACATCCTTCTGTAATTATTCACGTGGAATATGCTTTGCCAAGTACAGCTCCTCTCTCAGTGAACAACACTGAATTCCCAAAAGATTATTTTCCTCACAGCTCACAATTACTTCAAATACTAGAATAATTTTAGAGATGTATGCCTGGCATCTCTAGAATCATAGGAGAGAAAATCAGTGATATAATGAGACAGTATTTTAATGGACACAATATGTCAACTTCTTGTTTCTATTTTCATGAGGTTTCAGAGAAATGCTTGTGAGAGGTCAGGAGTTTTTTGAGGATTTTTCTGAAAGGCTCAGATTGAGAAACTGACATAACTCAGTTTTTACGAAGTTCAGAAATGACAAAGTTCATTTTGTTACAATGTCCCAAGGTCAGAGAACTTGTTCCCCCAACATATGTTCAAACACTTTAAAATAAGCTGAAAAATGCTAGCTATCCCTCCCTGCAATACACAAATTTTGTTATAAAGCCTTATTTTGGACAAAAAACATTTTTTAAAAAACATTCATTCAAGGTAAAAACTAAAAGGAAGCCCAGGTTCAGACTACTTAGCAAATAGAAATTAAAATTGTAATTATAACAATTCTAAACTAGAAATTTTAATCCTGGCAGCTAAAATGTATTACATTTTATAATCTATCCTCTGGAAAAGTTGAGTTTCATAAAGAATTCTTTCTGGAGGCATTTTCAGAGGTCACTGACCGTAACCCATGGAAACAGACCACTCTGAATCAGGAGGCAATTCAAGGAGATCCCTGCATCAAATAGCTATTTTTACCTTTCTTCAGCCTCTGATATGTTACCTCAAGATAATTGTTCTCTTTGAATTCACTCTCAAGTGGAATATCAAACTCAGGATGGTCAATCTGCAAAAAGGAGTAAAGGAAAAACTTATTATTTTCAGAAATGCAAATGTGAGGATATTTTGGTAACTTCTGTATAATGGAATTTGAAATGTTATTAACTTGCTTTTACTTTTGGAAAATGTTTGCTCAGTTCTTCAGAGAAGGACACAGGCTTAACTTGAGCAAGTCTTGGTCTGACTTTTTACTTACAGTGCTTCCTTGAATATGCTCTTTCTTTAGCATACTCACCTGAATAATATTGGTCTTGGGGTCAAAAGGAGTAGGTCCCACATGGACTCTAAAAAATGGAAAGGTGCTGTATCTGCTCATGAGAATCTGAAGAGTTTCATTAAAATCTTTTGTTTCCCCCACAATTGTGTTATGCCATCCACCAACCTAGAGAAAGATAGAAATGCTGCAAGTGAGAAAAAATGTTTGGATCTGTAGTTGGTTGGTATTTTTTGGTTTTTTTTTTTTTTTTTTCTTTTACACCTAGAAGTTCAGTCATTCTGGTAACTGAGAAGCAACAGAGCAAAAAAGCACCAAGGGAAACTTGTGAAGCGTTCTACATACCCTACTGGCTTTAAAATGACCTGACACTTTCCCTTAAGCAAAGCAATGAACTGCAAAATGACACAAGAAAAACGAATTGTAATTAGCAACAGAGTAAGGTGTGCAGAAAAAAATGCTGGATAAGCAGGAGACAGGAAATAGGTCTCATTTTTCTAAAGCTATCTGGGAGAACAAACAGGGACCAGTGATTACTGGACCCACCTCTCTTACAAGCAGATTCACAGGCAGGCCTGTAGTCACTGTTCCTTTTGCTGGAAGGTTCTGCACCCTCTTTTGACAAAGTGCATAAATGCTCTGTGCTGGAAGGAAGATGTCCAGCCCTCCCTGGCACGAAGAGGAGTCTCCCAGAATAGAAAGAGAAGGATTTTCTCCTTTAAATTGTAGGCTTGATTTTTCCCCATCCTTAAGTAATATACAAGGTTATGAGGAGAGATTCAGGTACTGATGTCAGAAAATCAGTTTGTGAAACAGCATTTAAAGCTAGAAGATTTACCACTTGGCAGTTGTGCTGGAACCATGACTAGTGTCAGATTCTATGAAAGTTACATCATGTAGGACTATATGACCGCACCTGCCCACTTTCCTTTTCTCTGCAGGAATTCTCTTCCTAAGGGAGAGGAAACAGCACAAACATTTACCTCATTTAGGAGGTCCTTCAATGGCTGAGCTCCTTGGGATTCTATTCGTTCAGTATCCATGCAGGAACGATAAAATTGTATTGCTTTCTCCTTGGCTGAGCCTCTTATCCCAGACTGTGGATTTTCTGAAGAAAAAAGTAGATTTAAAATTTAAAAAAGCAATTTAAAAAGAAGTTGGGACAGCATTAGAGCAGAGAACAGTTTTAAGAAAATACTGTACTTTGATCCAGAACATTTTAACAAATACATCCACATTTCCCACAGTGACCCAAAGCAAGAGACCTTCTAGCACCATGATTCTTCCTGAGGCCAAATATGTGAGGTTTTTTGCATGGAAACAGGAGCATAACAGGAAGTTGGTGCATATCTAGACTTCAGTCCCCCATGGAGACAGCACACATCACCAGAGTGCACATTCAGACTACCACAGCAACAATGGCCTACTTTGACAAGGTAACAGGGTATGGTTTGAGTTGCTGTCAGAATTTAAAGTGTGACTTTCATCTGTTACACTTGGCAAGAGGAACTAAAATGTTTAAAATGCAGCTACAGTAACATGCCATGCTCAAAAAATAAATCTGTGCCTGTAATTATAGAAGAACGAAGAGAGGGGACTCAGTCCCTGTTAGGAATGATTATGCTCAGTCACTACTACTGTCAGATCTGACTGAGGCAGATGCCGAAGGTAACACACCAGTCATCTGACCCTACCTAAAAGCCTTTTCACGATCAACAGGTTTTCTTCCAACAACACATCAAATACGTTTAGTGATTCTTCTCGGGTTCTGCTTGACTGTTTGCCTTCCCATCTGCCACAGGCATATTTGTAGAAGTTCTCACAGGGGTTAACAGTGTCATTCCTAGAATTCAGAAGTCTTTCCAACAGAGCAGGATCTGACACAGCATCACAGGATCCTGAAGAGGAAGTATATAAGAGAGAACTGAGAAGTAACAGTGGAGAGTGAGAAAAACTCCAAACACAAATGTTTTAGGGGACATTTACCCCAAAAGACTTATTTTGGTATAAACTCCTTTGCATGCAGTGTTGAATGTTGAGGAAGTGTATTCTCTCTTTCATATTCCAGGAAGGGATAATCTGTTTGTACTATCTAGGCAGCCACAGGTTGGGTTATTCTGCCTTCTCAGTGTCTTTCCTCTGAGTCAGCCAAATTTGGCCACATGATAAACAAGAAGCAACTGATGGTGTCAATACATGATGCAAGAGAAGGACATAGCACAGAGAAAGGAATAAGATTAAAACATGGGTTTTTTTCAAGAATAAGAAATATTTTTCAGGATGACATTTGTGAAAAGAGAACAAGAATATTTTTAGAATATCTTGCTTTGATCTATACTTTTCTTTTTCTAAACTGCTTCAAATTGCTGGGTATACATTGTCATTTTAGTTCAGTATCTTATATCAACATCAGATCAGATGAATTTTTTTACTGAAATAATCCACCTGTAAATCAAGGTAAGACTTCTCATACTATGGTTTCAAAGTAGACATGGGAGAAGTTAGGCAGAGTGGAAATGGACTAGATCTAAACAGATTTTCCATGGTCTCTGCAGTCTTTAACATATAACAAGAGCTAAAGAAAGAAAGCTAGGTAAAGGTTCAACAGTGCTTATTTTGGAGCAGGGAATGTCTGTATCCATCAATATAAATGCACCTACTGTTTTGAGCTTTCTATATGCAGAGATATTCTGAACCATATGAACCATTGTGCAGATAATTCTTTAGCAAATTTGGAAGGTGAATTAATGTTTCTGGTTCTCCATTAGCGAGAAACTCTGCTTTTTTCTTTTTTTTTTTTTTTTTTTTTTTTTTTTTTTTTTTTTTTTTTCTTTTATTCTTTGACTGCACTGATCTGTGCTAGAAAACCAGGACTAGATTAAGTCAGAGATAGAAAGGCAAAAGAAGAGCTCCAAGTCTCAGATTCAGTTCAGTTTCTTGACAACAGAGAGAGCAGAGCACATTGATGAGGTGTAATACAATATAATGCTGTTCTCTCTCAAAATTGGGCTCAGGCATATTAAATAGCAGGCAGAGGAGGACAGATGGGGATGATCTCTCCCCACTGTGACTCAAGGAAGAGGTAGAAAAATGTACTTTTTTGACAAAAGGTGCTATGATTCCTGGAGATTCTGAAAGTCTGGTTCTTAATACTGATGTTAAGCTTAAAACACAGTGGAGGCAGGTAAGAGAGAAAGGGATCTTAAAAATGGGGTGGATGAGGAAGAATGGAAAAGGATATCTCATATTATACCTAGAGCACAAGTCATCACGAGGTAGGTGATGAGCAGTGTAAAGCCAAGGAGAGTACTAAGAAGTGCACACAGAAGTAGGCTTTTCCCCTGAAGGCATCGTTCTTTCTTTGCACCTGTTCTCAGCTCCTGGTCACAAGTCTGAAGAGACAGAAAAAATCAAGAAAGAAAAATCCATATTAAGATTAGCATTAATAACATACTCATCTCCCACCTAATCGACTTGAAAATCATTCACAGGACGAGTGCCAAAACACCAATAGTCATCCAAGTCAGGTACATGACTCTACTCCCATGGGCTTTCTCACTTTCTTCATTCACTTGTTTTTTCAAGCTGTATCTGTTGCATAGTGTTATGAATTACTCACTGAAAATCCAGCTTGCTATGAGGACACTTGTCCCTCCATGGTTCATTCTAGTTTATGGAATCACCTTGCATATACTTCCTGAAGATACCAAAGCCTTTTTGAGTCTATAAAGCTAATAATAAGATGGCTAGGACTAGTGGTTCTTTATTCTGCCAGAGTCTGGCAATCTGAGCACTAATTTCAGATCTCTCCTCAAGAAATAAAGTACTGCATCCAAAGCCCTCTAGTCCAATTCAAGTAAGAGAAAAGATTTTTCTATTCTACAAATTGGAGTAAGCTGTAAATTGCTGAGATGATCTTATATAGAGACAGGTTTTATGTCACTTAAATTTAGTTATCTTCATAATCTAGGTCTGTCGTTTTTGTCTGTGGAACAGGCTAGGGACCTAATGAATACACCTTCTGTTTTAGATATCTGTTTTAGGATGAGCTGAAGCATTCTCCAGAGATATTTGTCCTTTTCTCTGTTGGCTGCAAAGGAAGCCAGATGACTATCACAAGATACACCCCTAACATCTACCTGGATATAGTTAAATATTATGACATTTTCTCTCCTTCTGCATACTTTGAAGTACATAAGATTGGAGAATAGCTGTTTATGAAAGAACAGACACCGGAATGCATGCTGGTAATATATAAAGAAAGGGAAAGAACTGAAAAAAAATGAAAAGTGAAATGACTGGAGTATACAGTGAGAAAAGGGAGGCAGAAGGGGGGGAAAAGCCAGAAGATAATGGAAAACCTCAGCTGTAGCAAACAAGGAGAAAATCTCACAGCTGTGAAGGCTGATGGAAGTGCTATTGGGAGAGTCCTACATGTCACTGTCAGGGCCTGGCCTGTACTGTCCCCACAGGCTCAAGTTTAGCTCCTCGTTCTATCCCGATTCTTTGAAAAAATAGAAATCTGTTTGAGAAACCTTGTCAGACCTTGGAACTCTCTAAGGCAAGAAGCAGCCTTAGTGCACATGCCCACTTCTTCACTTGGCCGTCTGCAGCTCTCCTCTGCGGTCTCCATCTGAGCTCTGCTGCAATGGCAGCCATGCCTTTGTCTGGACAGGCATCCCATTGATCTGGATCCTGATCATCACCTACAGACTTGATTCTGCAAGTTTGCCCTTGGACCTGCCTCCTCACAAGGGACTTGCCTGGCAATCTACACTCTTGGTTGACCCTGAGCACTGTCACCAGGCCTACCTTACACCCCTAATGCCCATACTGAGGGGTGCACCCCTTGCTTTTTAAGTCATTGCTTCTTGCCTGTCTTGTCATGACTCTCAGGTTTCAGATTGTCACCTCTCTTCTGCCTTTGCTGCTCCCTTACAATGCTAAACTGCATTTGTCACCACTCTTGGTATCTATGTTCTTTGCCACAAGACCAGGAAACATGGATCTTGACAAAAATCAGAAGAAATGGAGCAAAATCTTACAGGAATTAAATATGTCACAGTATATGCCCCTTCACCTAAGGGAACATTAGGGAAAGGAATGAGTCTACTGTTAATCATCTGGATTAATATACTATTTTCAACTTCTGCACAAAAACATTAATAGCAGGGAAAACAAAAATAAGCAATAGAAAAACAGACCTCATAATATTATAATCTTTCAAACGTGAGTTTTATTCAATCTTGAATAAAAGCCTCTCAAAGGCTTACTCAGCTCCTGGAAATTACTAACAAAAGTTGAGTGCCTAATGCTTTTCTCGTTTAAAATCCTATTCTCCTGACTTCTTCCAGAAGGATACAGAATAACCAAATGGAGAGCAAGTACATACAAGTGACATTAGAAGTTGCTAGATACAGAACATGATCATACTGGCAAAGAACAGTGTACAAACTACAAAGGAGGAAATCCAAATTCCTTTCATAAATCCCTATAGCAAAACACTTGTTTTACTCCTGGAGTAAGAAAGTGTCACAACAGTACCACAGGGAACTGAGTGGAAAAAAATTAACTTAGCTGGTAAAGGAAATAGGAAAACTATTCTTTGGCATGCAAGCCTTCATCTCTCACCATTTAGGAAAGAGTGAGTGATTTACATTCACAATTCTCCTGACTTCTCTGCTGCAATCAACTTCTTGCTTTTAGCATAGCAAATCTAGCCTATTCCTACCATGAAATAGTAACAATTTTGCAATTATTTGGTTTCATGTTATCAGAAGACATTTGTTTCTCTCTTTTGTGTCATAAATGTCATGACTGTGGAGATACTAACAAGAAACTGGTATTTCAAGACTGTCTGTTGGATTTTTATTTAACAGTCGGCCTTGTTCAGGCCTATGCATTATGTTTATTTTGAAATGCAAAATGCATAAAATAACAGATTTTTAAAAATCTCTAAGAGAAACAGCACTACCCCCCTCTAATCCCCACTGTGAAACAACTAGAGAAGTACCTGGCTAGAGCAGCATGCCCAAAATAATAACATAGCACAAAACAAATGACAGGGGAGTGGAAATTGATTGTGGACCTCTACATAGAGACTGGATTATGGTCTATGTTATGTGAACCATAAGCATAAAAATTGTTCTTGAAACACTTCACCTTCCATAAAAAATGCCTTTCTAATCTTGCCTCTGTAACTGGGGTGGGATTTGAGAGAAATTGTGGACCTACATGAACAGAGGAAAAAAAGAGGAGGGCAGTCATATTTAGTTGTCTTTTATGTCTTTTTCATGACAACAGCTTAAACAAATCTAGATTGACAAATACCTGCTTTTTCAGTACTCTTACACAGATACTGACCAGAGCAAAATCCCTGTCAGATTCTTGATCTAGAATGAATTTTCCTTTTATGCCACAATGGATTAAGTGGTTCACAGGCACTAAAATACAGACCCCTTCCTAAGCCAGTGATTCTTGGCCAAGGCAGAGGTGTGGATTTAACTAGATGAACCCAGAGGTGGCACACCAACACTTCCAGGGCACAGGATACAGGAACATTACATAGCTTACAGGAAGCAGCAGCACTTTATTGTGGCATGTTTTGAGACCTGGTTGGTTCATCCAGCATGCTCCATATAAAGATACAAGTGAATGCTTTGAACAAGCCAGTGTAAAAGGACAAAAAGACTTCAACATCTGACAGGGTTTTCCCTTACAGGCCTCACTTATGGGTGAGAAGAATAATCAGTATTAGTGTAAAGATGAGTGCAATTTCCAGTACAGTTTTAGTTCTTTCATGTTTTTAAGCATGTGCAAATGCTCAGATTTAATTGGGTTCACTAGAGATAAGTGAGAACAAATGGCTGTAAAATGATTAAAAGATTAATTGTAAATTATTATTATTGTAATTGCTGTAAATTATAAAAATTTATGACTTTATGTTAATGTACTATGTGTATCATCTGACTCAAATGCAAGCATGACTTGAGATAGCATGATAAGTACTGTTATCACTAAAGCAAAAACTGTTTGATACAACTAAATCAGCCAAAGCATTTGATTTTCCTTGAGCATTTCCTTCTTTCTCTTTGTGAGCTATTCCTGAATTCTGAAGGGAGGTTGAAGTTACTCTGCCTAATTCTTTCTCAGCTTGCATTTTCACAGTGTTTAGTGCTGTTACAGAAAAAGAAACATCTAGCTTTCATGAAAATTTTAAAAATGCGATCAAAGGAAAAGAGAACTGAAGTTATTTTTCATAACTATTTACCAGATAATGTAGCAGTATTGTTTTTCAGCCAGTAGATTATTCATGAATTACTGACGTTGGCTGTTACCCAAATCATGTTTATCACATTACTCACATGGATGGCATATTTTCAGACTAATACCCCAATATCACAAAAACCTTCATATTCTTAAATTTATCTTTTGGCAGCAAATTATTTAAGCACATAAATGGAACCCATTAAATGCCATTTGAGAAATATTTTAGCCTGCGTTTGAAATAGAGTACCTGCTCACTCACATGGAATACAAAACAGAAAGGTTACTGAATTATATTTTGGAGTACTAAAATTGTAAAGCAAAACCATGGCCAACAACTAAAATTATGCTTACAGTCTGATCTCAATCACATATAAGTTTGGGAATGGATATACAAAACAAACATTTCTGCAAATTCTTCAACTATAAAAATGTAGACAAGATGAATATAAGTGACTGCATTACAGCCACAGTCAAACTGAACAGATCTCAATGTAAGAACACACGCTCATTTCAGTGTTTACATTATTTTGTAACATAGAACACTTCACTTATCTCTGTTGCCCTTGAATGTTTTGTACTTTTTTAGCAACCTTGAGCTGACAGTTCAGTTCAGTGCAATTTGTCTGTAAATATACAATTAAAACTTTGCTAGCTATTTATATAAGACATCAAAGCAGAAAAAGGACATCACACTACATGGGAAGCAATTAGGCTCACCATGTCATTCTCGCATTCCAAAAACTATGCCTTGTTTATCCACAACTATTTGTAGGAGAGAAACTGCACATTTCTGTGTGAGTACTTTCTTATAATACCTTGCTGAAAAAAATGGAGATAGAATAAAAGATGCCATTGTTATTTTTATTATTGTTGTTGTTGTTATCATTATTACTACGACTAATTGTTTTACTATTACTATTTGTTGGTCAGTGCTTCAAACAGTTCTCAGAACAGCCATTAGGGCGACTAAGAGGAAGGGCAAGAACCCCTAAGTCATCACACCATATCCCAAATCATTAATTCTGAGACCTGGACAAGACCTTTCTGGATACAAACTGTCAAAAACTCCATTACCTCAGTCCCCCAAGGCAATAAGCAGTGTAGCTATGAAACAGGAAGGAAAAGCAAGGTGTGCAATGAAGGTCCCTCAGCAGATTACAAAACAGACCCATTTCCTTACCTGTGGAACAGTGCTCATGCTTGTCACTGAGCAGACTTTGCTCCTTCAGCTGCCACAGTTGTGAACTGTGTTTACTTGTTTGCTATCAGTCTTCTGTGCCCACACACTCTGCTGAGTTCGGAGACAATCTCTTCTTCCCAGCTTGGCTGTTTGCTGTAGGGAGGAGAAGTGAGAGGAAAAGCTCGGAGACAAACACACTTAGAGAAAATGGGAGGGAGGGAAATGGTGTTTCTGCATCTCTCCACCCACTTTCTTAACACCTCTTCTTCTCATAAAAGGATATTTTTTTCCTTTCTGTGTCTCTGTGACCCACCTGCCTTTCTGTCTTTCGGAGCTCCACTGAAATATTTTTGAACATAAATATGTGATTCTCTATCTCCCCCAGCCTCTTCTCAGCTATTCGCTGTTTCTTTTCTCTCCAGCAGCCTCAGTATCCTGCCCACCCAACAAGCCTGTTTTGGTCTGATATTCTCCCTGCCACTAGCCTGTTTCAACCTGCTGCCGCCTTGGGGCCTGCAGGCTTCTGCCTATTGCTAGATAGTGTGGGCTAGGGATCCTAGTGCTCCTCCTCCCACAAGGAAAAGCCAAGGTGCTGACTTGCTTCTTGCTCTTGCTTTCTCAACTGTGCCCTAGTGTCCATTCAAGAGGCGAACACATCTGACTTTTTCTCTTTCCCATTAAGATGCATAGAAAAAAAACCCATTAATTACTGATTCTATTTAGAGTTTTTCATTGCTTCTTGGAAGATGGCCAGCTTGTGTGTCTTTGCTTATTTAAGGAGGAATATTGGGAAGATTTGGGAGGGAGGTTTCTCTGCCTTGAGGACTGGGAACCCAGATTACTTCTTTGAGACATTAAAAACTGAACAGGAGAGTGAGACATTGGGATCTGAGACCTTCTCAACTGGCAGCTGTGAGCTGAGAGAGGTAGTGGGGACCAGCTTGGTGTCAGCTTCCAAAGTGCTTGAAACATGCAGAATACCGGGGTGGGACTGTTTGCCTCCCAAGCCTGCAAGTCTCTGAGGAGAATATGTTATCTTGGTTCACTAGTCTGAAGATAATTTGATATCTGTTCAGTTGTTCAGATCTCCTATCAACCTGATTTTTCCCTATTTCTGTAGTGCTTGCATAATTTAATACTTTACTATCACAACATATTTCTCATATGGCTGAAACCAATTACTTCCAGTTCTTTTTAGCATTCAGGTTACTGGTAGCTATATATTTCTATATTTACCAAACAGCTCTAAATACAGTAAGAAAGTCCTTGCATAATGACAAAAAGGTCCCTACTAACCTTTCTTTCCTTGCAGTGCATCACTTCACCTTAACATCAGAATCCATTTTGCAAATACTTCTCACATAAATTGACTGAGATTTGACTTAATGAAAGCAACAAAAAAGTATTTTGTTAGCCACAATTGAGATCTCACAGTGAAGAGATCTTTGTAAACTATCTGGACAAATTTGTTCATGACAATATTCACCTTATTTATCTGTCTTAACTGTATCTGAACTCTTCCACCTTCATAATTACAGGATCTAACAGCTGCTAAGCTTTATGTAATGAAGTAAATTTTACTTCTCTTTTCTCTATGAACACTATCTAAGTTTTAAAATTTACCTGGGCAAGGAATTTATTGCCTTTTTTGATTATAAAATGGTTATGATCATTTTGAACACTGCAATTAAAATTAAAGCAAGTAATTAAAACTTGGCTGAAGTATTCACTTTTAAAATGACACTTGAGAAGACAAAAAAAAAGCCTTTGATCAATATGCTGGGAGGATATGTTTTGCATTAATGTGGTTTCCTACACCAGTATCTTTTAAACAGGTATTCTCATTTCCTCTTGATTAAATGAAATTTTACCACATACTTTGGCAAAACAGTACATTGGTATTGCCACAACACATGGATTGTCCCGCACACGCTACCTAGAAATGCTTTGAATGTGTATGTATGGATGATTTTTACCAGACTTGTAAACTAATCAGGACACATCCTGAAAAGTAGATGGATCACAACTTCATTTCAAGAGTGCATAAGATGTTTCAGGAAAGGAAAGCTGAGAAACCCTCTCTTTCTCAATGAAGAGCACAGCTCTTTGAATTAGTACACGTTTCAATGGTGCTGTGATGCTGAGAAAGCTGCCTTGCAAGATCTAGTGTGGTGGTGATATTTTTTCTCCTAATGCATTACACACCATAGTAACATTATATGTTGGATCTAATCGACATTATTGTTGGATTCTCAATACTGTTCTGGGAAAGTATGCTCCTGAGTAGTATTCAGCTGTAGTGGACATTGGGTTTTCAGTTTGTTCAGTAATTAAGTAGCAAGGTTGAGCTGTTATGGAGAGAATTAAGTTGTTAAAACTTTTATTTATTCCAAAATTCGTGTATCTCATTGGAAAAATGTGGATTTATTTCACATAGATGCTGCCTTTGTGACTATGGTCTGAGATATCCAGGTATAAGACATATTTTATCTGAAGTTATATGATCCACACTTCAGAAAAATCTGTTTGTCTGTGGTTATTAGCTGTTGCAAAGTAATTCAGACACTGTAGTTATGTGTGTAGTTATGTTTCAAGCAGAGTTTCTTGCCTCTGTCAGGCTAAGGACAGATCATATTTGCATCTGGCATCACTGCATAAGGCTGTGAAGCATGTCTTGCATTTTCCATATCACCAATTGGATATGGAATTTTCTTTCCCATTATGTGCCACAGGACAGTAGCAATTCCTGTCTGAAAGTGACAGTGTGTATATATATTTAAGCCTTGAAAAAGCTCTGTCTTGGAGAGGATTGCATGATGGCATTGTAAATATTCTGATGGGGTTTTGAATATACAACCTGTAGAGCTTTGGGTATCTTGAGAGATGAATGCGTAAATTATTCACATATACATGAAAATGGTGCTGTTGTTTTTCCTGCTAGCATGTAGGTTTCTTCAAAGACACTTTTATCACCTACAGAAAGTAAAGACAAAAAGTTTCTCTGTAAATTTTTTCTAATTACAGAAGCAGGAAGAGGGGCTTGGGGGAGGGAGGGATGGCAGGGAGGGAGAAGACGTCACAAGTAATCCTTATCAACTCGTTCCCTTCTTATCTTTAAGGCACATATGACAGCTCTGCTCCCTTGAGTCCACAAATTAGTAAGAGAACCCCTGGCTTTTTTCTCTGGGACAGACACTTTCTCTCCATGCAGTGCATTCGCGTCTTCCAAATCTAACACTGATCAGCACATTGAAAAAAATATAATGTTCACCATGCCTTCCAGCTGTTACACATAAAAATGCTTAACGGCAATTATATTTTAGATACCTTTTAGAATTAAATAAACATTTGATTCAAAGAAATATGGATATATTAAGTGTGTTGGTGTGCATTTGACAGATGTTGTTGCAAATATTTCTTACGGTAATTTTAAATGGTTAGTATTTCAAATGGTTTGGAACCAAAAGCAGATTTCAGCAAATTATTTTTCTAATATCTGTCCTGAAGTGAAATTGAACTGGGACTTTGATCTTCTACATCATGTGAATAGTAAATTCCACTGCAACAGTTTGGTAGACTGAAGTTTTGCTTCATGGATTGATATCACATCTTTAACCTTCCAAAATGTATCTGTATCACCAACTGCATGAAAGATTGCTCTTTTAAAAAGAGCATTAAAAAAACATGGCGAGGCAATGCTAATGACACTGGCCATCTTGAAAACTCTTGTCAAAAGGGTATCAATTACAAAGAGACTACACTTAGGTTTAAAAAAACACTTGTTTAACTCAAGCTCTTCTACCTCAAACGGTCCCTGGTGGTACTACTACTGAGAAGTGTGACTTGAGGATTAAAATAATATGAAAGAAAATCTCCTTGATATGAAAGACTGTCTGCTAAAGGTTAGTAATAATTTTGGTAACCATCAAAAGCATAAATTTGGTCTGAAGTCATCAGAACACTGTAGCACTTGTTCCTTCACTAAAGAAGTTCAGAAAACTGGAGGCAGGACTGCCTGAGAGCCATAATATTCCATTGTAGATTGGAGGACTGATGACAGGATAAATTCAATTTAAACAACCCATAAGTGGAGATGTCAGTCAGGGATCCAGCAGAGTGTTCTAACTGCCCTGCAGGTGACAGAGAGAAATCCCTTCTGGGGCAAAAATGCTCTCAGATACTCTCAAATCACCTATGCCGATGGCAACTTTTCACCCTTTTACCCACCAAAAACTACCCCTCTCATCTAGCATCAGTCCATCAGTACACAAACTCAAAGATTCACAGAATGCCTTGGTTGGAAGGGACCTTTCAAAAATCATCCAATTCAACCAACCCAACATGGTCAGGCTGCTTAATCTCTGTCCAGGCTTTGAATACTTCTAGTGAGGGGACATCCACCACTTCCTGGGGCAACCTGTCCTTCCAGTTTTCTGGGACATCTTTATTCAGGAAAAAAAGACAGAAAAGTCATTGATACTTCTAACCGTAACCACAAGTTAATAGACTTTAGGTTCAGATGAGGAAGGATGAAGGGGAGAGACTAAAGTTTATAACGACAGATTAGCTCAATGTGTGGCAATTCAGTTACCTGGATGAATTTGTTAAAGACAGCGGGGGAAAAAACAGGAATTTTTGACCTGACCTCTGCAAGTCCTTCAAATTGAAGATTCATCAGTCCACCCATAAGGAAGATTATACTTAAACCTGGGATTCAAGTGGATAGAATGGATACAAGATATGTGAACTGGGAGGTAGACACGAAGTGTATCCTTGATGATAGGAAAGAAAAGGAGCTGGTTTCAGGTACTAGGAAAGTCTGAGAATGAAGGCTAAGAGGATGGAGAATATTAGGCAAGAAAGGCAGAAGAAGCAGTGAAAATAAGAATGGCAAAACCCACTGAAGTTGAAACTAAAAAACACCTTGTTTTTCCCTGTCCTACATGAATGTACATGAATTTCCCTAGTCATAACCCTACTGTACATGAATGCCTTCTATTATTTTCTGTGGTACTTTAATATCTCATTGTTGCTTCATTGGGCACAAACTCTAAGAATAAATAGCATAATTAGAATATCACCTCAGGCTATTGTTAAAGATTTTGTAGGTTTCTTGTAGTTACTGTACTAGTGAGAACTTAATTTTTTTTCTCTGCAACAGGGTAAAGACTGATAATAAAAAAAATTTTTGCAGTTGTATATCTCTTTGTGCATTCAGACATTGACTGTAAAACCATTCCAAAACACCCATGAGGCATAGTTTTCCATTCAGAAATGCAAATCCTAGCCTCTGAAGCATTTATTTAACTTCAAGGAGAGCAAAAAAGAATAAAAGCATAATCCCTGAATAAGCAGCCACACAGCCTTCTACTGAGAAGGCATGTTAAGGCAAATGAAGTATCTGAGTCCAGCAGACTGCCAGAGGGCTTCTCTTACAATTGAGTGTGTATCAACTCTGTTCTTGTTTCTTCACAGTGCAGCACCTTCCAAAATACATCCTAGAAAACCATTTTCCATGGCTCTTTAAAGTGCTTGCTATCTGCTTTGTTTTCTACAATTGCTTACAGGCTGATTTAAAGGGATATTTCCTGTAAAACTCCATTCTGATTCTAAAA